CAAGCCCCATGTGCGTAATACACAGATTCACACATGATTAGTAACGGCATAAATCATCTGCAGCTGAACTTGTCTGGATTTTGAGGCTAGGGATGCAGGCAGTTGTGCTGGCTCTGCGTCTTTTCTGCCGAAAACTGAAAAAGGGTCTGAGTTGAATATTTTAGATCCTCTTATTATGAAGAGAAAACTTATGTTAACTCCTCTGCTTCTTAACTTGATCCCATGTTGACTGCCTCACCTCTATAATCAACTTGCACAACTTTCAAATTACCTCTAAGCGAGTTATTGATTATCCAACAGACATCACTATTGATCGAATTACACCTAAGACACAATATCTTAGGGATGCTTACAGCGATTAGATGTAATCTGACACTTGCACAGTTGTGGTAGACACTTTAATTACCCTGTGGAATATGAGTTTTCCCTGCATGAACCTTAAATAATGACACAGCAGGTCATTTTAAGGGTAAAACCGGTGGCACAGGTCGACTTTGTGTGTTTTTTACTCCTCCACCGACTTCTCCTTTCACTCTCCCCACACACTCCCCAGAACAGAGAATCTACTGTGAGGCTTTACTGTATGGGTGGGACTGGGTCATTATCCTATTGAAGTCTGATCTCAGGTGTTGCATGTACCAGTAAAATGTCAGACTCGATTATTCTCACCTGAACACCATACTTGTTCAGAGACCACAAAAGTGAGGAAACACGTGATGACGTTGACGTTTATCGTGTAGCGAAAAGAACAAAGAAAAGAGGTTAAAAACTGAAAGATCATGTTTCAGAAGCTTAAACCCTTCTCACTGAAATTAAAGATTACTGTTATTCCTAAGGACCGTTGCCATAACAAACGTTCATCATTCAGAGCATGTAAATACACACCACGCCATGTCCTATTGTCTGGTGATATAACTGTCTTTTCTTCAGAAGGATATTGTGATATAGACTGTAGACAAAGGATGAATACACTCACTCTGATGTCGCTCACTGGTTTGTGGAGTTGCATTTACGCAGCTTCATGAAGTCACCATCAATTTTTTTTTTTACACACAGAATTGACCATATTTAGAGGATGGGGTGGGGTGGTTAGCAGGTAAAGCTCACAAGCCTGTTTAGCGAGGTGGATCCATACACTGCATCACATAGACACGCATGCCTGCTGATTAGTGCTAACAAATTCAAGAATTTCACTCACTATTACTGGGTTACAGATAAGTGTGCCAAGTGTTGGCAGGAGGGATCCTTGTTTTCACGTTGTGTGTGCCAAATTCTGATCGTACCTGAATGCTGCATCAGAAATTGAGAAGCATATAAACATTGTAATTCATACTAAAGTTGAATTAACTATCAATTTACCATTTAATAAAGTTGATTACAAAGCATCATCCAAAACTTCCTCAATTCCTCACGTACAAGGTCTCGAATAACGAGACAACATCTTATCTCAAAGCTCTCATAGTACCATACCAGCCCAATAGAGCTCTTTGCTGTCAGAGTGCTGGCTTGCCTGTGGTTCCTACAGTATTTAAAAGTAGAATGGGAGGCAGAGCCTTCAGGTTTCAGGTCCCGCTTCAGTGGAACCATCTCACAGTTTGGATTCAGGAGACAGACACCTTCTCTACTCTTAAGATTAGGCTGAAAACTTTCCTTTTTACTCTATGTGTTTATACACCTCTCTGCATCTAATCATTAATTATTTTTAAACTCTGGGTTTCTTCTACAGTGTGTCTTTAGCCCTGTCTCCCTCCCATCAGGCCCAATCAAATGGCGCCTTTCCCTGAGGCTGGTTGTGCCAGAGGTTTCTGCCAGTTAACAGGGAGTTTCTCCTTCCCACTGTCACCAAGTGTTTGCTTATAGGGCATTGTCTGATTTTTGGGGTCTTCTTTGTAATTTTGTCTAATATTGTAGGGTCTTTACCTTGCAATATAAAGCACCTTGTGTCACGGCGAGTGAGAGGAGCCGTGTGGAGGAGGAAAAGGAGGATCCACACGCAGGCAGTCGTGAAGGTGTAAAAGGTGATTTATTGAACACAAAAGGAGAGGCAAACGGCAACACGGAGAACTAAACTATACTGGGAAACAACTAAAACTACAAAGCACAAACCAGAATGAGCAGAGGAGAGGAGAATGATGATGGACAGCAGGGAGAACACACGGGTGAGACATGGTAGATACACAGACGGACCAGCAACAACAATGATGGAAGACATGACTTAAATACACAGAGAACCACAGGGGAATTACACACAGGTGGTGGACACAGCTGGGAATAATCAACAAGACGAGACAAAGGTAAAACTGAACACACTCACATGAGATGCAGACCTTCACAATAAAACAGGAAACAAAACACACTTTACTAAGACACAGACTAGACAGAGACAGACTTGAAATGACATATGAAACTAAACCCACATCTTAAACCCAGATAAACAGAAACATGGAACTCTAATAATAGACATAAACATTACCATAACACGACAAGAGAACAAGAACACAATCCCTGATGCAAACATAAATCAAAACACAATAAACTCAAAATACTGGGTCCAACGGACCCAGAACCGTGACACCTTGAAATGAATGTTGTTGTGATTTAGCACCATATACATAAAACTGAATCTGAATCTGCATTAACTGTATTAAAAATACAATAGGAACCAATAGGTGCCAACACCAAAAACATTGCCAGTAGGTCCAGTTCAGTGACACATTAGCTGCCTGCTTCTTCCATCTGCTATGCTGTAAACATGTGTAATGCATCTATATGTTATGTTAACATGGGAACTTGCCAACAGACTCACTTTCAGAGCAAGCCTCATGTGGCCATGTGTGGAATTGCAATTTTCTGCTGCCAGTGGCTTCATATTCCAGTGCAGGAAATTACCGATTGGTACCGTGAAAGGCAGTTTTCTCCAGTTGTGACAGACCTTCCTTTGAGGATGCGGTGACTCACTGAGAGCTAAAGTCCCGATTCACCACTGGGGCATACATAGAGACAGACTGCAAGCGATCTGTGAATCAGCTGTTGCCTAGTTATCTGCTATCTAAAGACCAGAGGCTCAGGGGTGAGAAGAGACCAAGGACTCCAACATAAACATGTTTGTCTGCAGTCTGGCTGGTGGGTTGGGACATCATGCTGTCTGCTGTGGCTGTTTAATTACTTCCCACCCCCCAGTTAAGCTCTGCTCATCTAATCTCAGACTCTGTGAAGCAGGCTTCTGGCAGCAAACTTATTACTTTTTATGGGGCACCAAATCAGCGCCTTACGAATCTGAAAATGTCTTGAGACATCCTGTGCTCAGGAACAAGCAACTCCACACTAACACATTTAATCAGCCTGAGCCTGAGCTACGGTTTTATGTCTAAAATCAGCACATGTAATCATATATTTAAAAATACTACAAAATATGCCATGTGCACTGGGACTGGAGTTACATCAGTTAGTATTTGTTGTAGCCTCCATAGCCCTAACATGCTCTTTCATGTTTTGCTCACACTCCACCTCTCCAAGTATCACGAAATGTGGTAATCTTTGCATCTCTCTTGATGTTGCTAACAGGCAAACAATGCAGCTTACAGGACATATAATGGAAATATGTCATGTCAAATGTAAGCCAGGCAGCAATAATGCATGAATGGGTTGCATGTTAGACGCTTCCCTTAGAAGGGGGGGGAAACAATAAAACAGGCCGAAGGAAATGTAGATGACAATTAAAAGTTAACGGCACTATTACAGACTCAGCTGCTGCGGGAGAAAGCGATCCCCCAGAGCCGCTGCCATTAAACTGCAGAGTACCATCTTGTTAAATGAAGCAATGACTTTTTTGCTCATTACAACGTGTTCCTTCAAATCCCACGAGTAAAGCCTCTCACTAATGTGAGAGGATCAATCTAAAGCACACGCCATGGGAAGAAAAGCAAAAAACTGAAAAAGCAATCAATAATAAAAATATTGTCTTTCAAGTGAAAACGTCTGAGAAAACTTTTCCACCCATCATTATTGGAAACATTTGTTCAATTCTTCTCCCTCTGGGTCAAAATGCCACGAGGTTTCCAGCCATGCCATCTCGCTCCAACAAGGAAAGCTCTACCAGCAGATATCATTTATAGATACCACAGTCGCTTCCTGAATAAGGTAAACTATTTCATCAACACCAAGCTATCAGTTACTGTCAGGGTGGGACTTTATCTGGGAAGCTCATTAAGGTCAAAAGATGCACACTTCTTATTGCTGAAGCTCTCCTCTTATCAGCTGGGATCATGGCCACAATCAAGCTCCACCCATCCTGGAAGTTGTAATGAAGAAGGTGGATTGATGATTGTCACATTGTTCAAAATCCAAGCGTGTCTGCTGTCTCTTCTTTGTTTCCTCTTGCGAATCTCACACTTGTGCACTCCTATTTTGCAGTAACAGTAACAGTCTCTTGTGCTGCCAACTTCCAGGAGCTAGGTTTAAACGTTGGGCTAATGAAGGACAAAAAAAGATTAAAAGGCAGAGCGAAGGTCAGGTAGATGACGGTTTCCAAGAAGTTGCCTGAATGTGGAGTATGTCTTTGTAGATTTACACTCACTGACTCTTTAGGGAGTATAGTTAGCACATTAGATTCAAATGTGACTGAATAGCTTGCATAGCTCAACCGTTACAGTACTGTGGATATTTGCTGCCTCATATTTTCACACACTCATTCTTCACTCAGAGCAGATACAAGCAGATCTCCCGAAGGTGTGGGATGAGTTTGTGAAATTCCTGCAGGGAGTTACATAATGACACAAATCCTTCCTTGTGAGAGTGTGACCTCTGGGACCCCATAGTGAAAGACCCGCTCACTGGGAGCAAGCTGTCTCTTAGTGTTAAGTTATGAGACGTAAAAATGAAATCAGAACATGCAAATACAATTCATGTGGTACATTATTTATTGACAAAGTTACACAATCTACATTCTCTATCTTTGCCTAGGTCTCTACAGAAAAACAAAACAAAACAAAATATACATTCAGAAACAAGAGCGTTTAAAAAATAAATTTAGTAAAACATTTATTCGTATTTGTGAACACATGTACAGTAAAAATCCCATACAGTGTCAAACATCTATATGAAAACCATCTATTCAAAAACTGTTTTAGTGCAAAGGATTTTACAATATAAAAATACTGTCTTGTAATCTTTATTTGTGATATGAAAAACAGAGGGACGTAGGATCTGTGTGAGGTATGAAGGTTAGAGGTGTGTGTCGGCGATGGGGATACGCCGAAGCTCAACTATCTGGGAGTTGGTTACGCTCCCTCCGTCGTGGCTTCCTGGTATGGACTCGTTATCGCTGACATTAAGGCCGGTCCCTAAAAAGAAACAAAAAAACATTGCATTTTTATCAAAAATATGATACGTTGTATTTTTTTATACATTCTATTCTGCAGTATATTCACGTGCATTTTTCTTCTTATAGCGCTTAGTAAGTTGGACCACCTAATACCCACTATAATCGGTCCTTATAGAGCAAATGATCTATATTGCTCTATTATGAAATCATCCCTGCATGTCATGAACTCTGGGATATCAAGTCTGATCAGTCATGGTAATGAGACGTGAAGGGGACAGGCTAACATGCTTGGACTGGAGGCAGGTAGAGAAACAAAATAATTCATTATATGTTAATGGGTAAACCAGGTAACTGCATGTTGGTAAAACATAATCAAAAATATGTTAAACACATGCTTTTTAAAAATGCAAAACTGGACTTGTTTTTTATAAACGCTTGGGCTGCTACAGATTTGATCTGAATAAAAAACATCATCAGACTTGTTCTTTTGTGCTTTGGTGACTTCTGGATGCTTTCAGCTTGACATACTTGAGAAGAGTTGGATAATGAGCGCCAACGTTGCTGGATTTGCACTGAAACTCACCCAGCGATCATTGCAAAATAAGATCCTTCAAACCTCCATCCTATGCCGTGTTAATGATCAGCTCTAAGTTGTACAAAACAGCACTGGGCGCAGGTGCCGAGATAAGAGCGTGCACCTCGATATGTGCTTAATGGTTCACGATCAAACAAAGTGCGAAGACCCAGATTACTGCAATACTTGCTGACCCCTGTCAGCTGGAACCCTATTATGTAATTATAATAGGAAAATTATCTTTACTGCTGACTGAGTGCTTGAGATTAGCCCAGGTTATAAGTTCAGCACGGCTGGTACGAGCAAAGAGAAGGTCAGGGGAAGTATGAAATGAAAGAGTGTCCTTTGTGACTGGTGGAGCAAAAAATGATAATTTAATGACAGAGTTGAGATGTAAACAGATAACATCAGCGCAGTATCGAGTTTCACGAAAACATCTTTTAACAGAAGTTTCAGATTTACGCTTCATTTTGCACACAGCAAAGATCAACTACAGGAACTTTTAGTTACCTTTATTTTCTTGAGGCCATGCCAAAGATCTGGATAGAGCCAAACACTTTGACTTAATTAAACCTTGCAAACTTCCCTCCTTACCACACTGAATAATATGACAGATTACTTCATAGCGCTGAGTTTGCTGTGGGGACCAATAAATTCCCTGGCATGTCTCTTGCATCCCGGAGGTTATTCAAAGTCAAACATCACAACAAATCAGGACAGCAGGTACTCTTCGAGAAACAGAGAGAGTGAAATGGAGAGTGACAGAGACACAGTGGCTCTGCTTCACCCTGTCACCACACAAACAATAAGAAGATAAGAACCTCTCTCTCTGTCTAAGTTTTTAACTTTCACATAAATGCATTTATCAACATGCCTGCTGTTAATTTGACTCTCCACAGCTACAAGTTTTGCTTTTAAGGGGTTTCTTCAGTATAGTGGAGCCTGGTGTGGTTTTCGAGACTGAAAAGTCAGGTATTGTATGACCCAAACAGAACAAGCTTTCTCACAAAGTCAGATAAAGCTGCAGGACTGTAGCTTGCAATGCCGTGAAAGCTGCCAAAAGCCTGGCTTGTTGAAGAACTGTTAATGATTACTGTACTTCCTCTGAAAACTATTTCTCTTTCCCTGAACCCCAAGAGATTACCTGTGAAATTCAGTGTGACCTGCCACAGTCCCATTAACTTTGGAGTCTTATCAGGTTGGTCTATCTCGACTATGTATTTCTTATCCCTTCCAGAGTAATCGCAATTTTAGAGGACCAGCCACTTATTCTTTCCATGACGTGACACCAAAGCTGTGAGAGATATTCTTGCTGCTGCAATAGTTAGCTGCTCATCAAGAGTCCTCGTTATAGGTTGGGAATAACAATGACTGACGATGAGCTGAAACAGTAGGTTTTTTACCCGTTAAATGGGTAACATTAACCTAGTTTGCTGACATATTGGCATCCCATTTTGTAATGTCTTTTATATTACTGAGATTTAACACTAGCGGCTGACTGCATGATGTACAGGTAAGACTTACAAAAGCATCTAATACAATATTAACTATACAAATACTCTTTTGTATGTTTCAGGCACGACTTTCAGACTGTCTGCAGCGGATGACCTTGATTTCAGACGTGTGGAAACGGCTCATTCGGACACTGTGAAGCAAAGTCTCAATGATTTGAATAGTGTCTGTGTGTTTACATGAGCTGGTTGTGTATTGATGAGCAGGCTAGGCCCTCGGTTCATTAAACATGGATGGCAATAGAGGAAAAATGACAGCTGAGAGACTTAAGGTCAACAAATGAATGACAAAGCAGAAGTGATACTGCTGGATTAATGGATGCATTAGGCACTGTTAGATGCTTTATGTATGTACAGGGTATAATAATCACAAACACATGCACACACATATACACACAGACACTCAAACACACCACACACACTGTGGCATTTAATCACAGGCTGATTTTTATCATCTCTCGTTCTCTGTTATCGTTCAATCTAAATTTTAGGAAGTCATAACATCTTTTTCTGCTTTTAGGCTACGGTCACACTCGGGGAAAGAAATGATTGGCTACTGTTGCACAACCAAAATTACAGCGACTGTGTGCAATCAACTTCTGATCTCTATGCCTTTGAAATGGTTGCTTCAAAGATGTGGACCAGGTCTGAGTATGCTTGCAGTCAGACGCCATCTCCAAACTGACTTTGATGCATCAAGATGGTGATAAAACAGGGATATAATGGCAATAAGGTGGAGTCAGTGCTATCAGTTTTAGACTAAACTGGGTCAAACTGGGTCAATCTGTTTTTGAAAAACAAAACAAAACATCAGAACATCAGAAATGCAATGCTGAACCGGGCCCAGAGCTGGACTTAGGCAGAATCTACGCATCAGGTGTGACTCTGTCAGCCACAGACTGGACCAAATGTAAACAGATGGTAATTTATAATTTATAAACTTATAAACACATAGATGTAAGCAACTGCAGGTTGGGGGTGCTGCATGCTTGGCCTCTGGCAAACTAGTTGGTAGAGCTACCTGCAAGCACTCCCGGACATCAAAAAACTGGATCCAATCACTTCCCAGCCATTAATTTTATCCTGGTCACACAGAGGCTGTTGTCCTGTTTTTACTGTAGTCTGACTGAGACCTACCACACAACTGGTGAAATTGGATTTATTTCTCAAGCATACTGTGTTTGTCCTTTTATGTCAAAATATTTAGTGCAGCAAAAACACCCAAAGGAATATTCAGTATCAAATTGTGTTTCTGACACTTGCTTCCTGTGTAATCTGTTGAAAGGTATGTAGTATAGTTCTCCTCACCTGTTTTTAAGGCAAATATGAGGTCGTCAAACTCCTGTGAATCCTCATCTGCAGTGACCAGGTTGGTGTTGATGAAGCCTCCCTCGGTGGTGTACGTCTCCATCACAGGACTGGGCTTAAACACACTGCTGGGCTGAATGCTAGGCCGCAGTGACGTTCGCTCCCAGTCTGCTGAAACCTGATAGATAAATGTGTATTTAAATAGACAAGCCCAAAAATCACCAAATATAACATAGAGTCCAAATAAGTTGGGATGCTGTGAAAATGCAAATAAAAACAGAAAGAAATAATTAGAAATTCTCAAAAATGGATATTTTATTCTTACTAAACATATTAAATGTTTAAACTGAGAAACTGTACAATTGGGTGATTTTTGAACACACACATAAAAACAACAACCTAACTGAGGAGACCAGTAGCTGGACCTTTGAGAGAGGAGTGTTGTCCCACTCTTGCTGCTCAACAGTCCTGGATCTATTTTGTCACAGTTTTCCTTTTATTGATGCTTTAAATGTTTTCAGCTGGTGAAAGGTTTGGACTGCAGGCAGGCAAGTTCAGCACCTGCACTCTTCTACTATGAAGCCATGTTGTAATACAGTGCACACACTAATACAGTGTACTACAATGCAGTTTAGCATTGTCTTGGTGAAATAGGACTAACTTGAACATCTGGATGGAAGCATTAAAACCTGTATATACCTTTCAGCATTGTTGGTGCCTTTCTAGATACAAATGCCAAATCCACAGGCAATGCTGCATCCCAATACCATCAGAGAAGCAGAGTTTCCAGTGGGTGTTGACAAAAAGCCGGATGGTTCCTCTCCTCTTTATTCTGGAGGATGCAGTGTCCGTGTTTTCCCAAAAGAATTTCCATTCGTCCGACCATTTGTTTTCCATGTTGCCTCAGTCCATTTTAAATGAGTTTTAGCCCAGACAAGAGGACACCATTTCTAGATCATGCTCACATATTCTTCTTTATGATAGAGTTTTAACCTGCATTTGTGAATGGCACAGTGAACTGTGTTCACAGAAAATGATTAGTGGAACCGTTCCTGAGCCCAGGGCAGGGATTGCAGGGATTTCCATGACAGAATAAGACCTTCTTTTTAATGAAGTGTTGCCCGAGGGCCCAAAAATCACAAGAATCCAGTATTGATTTTTGGCCTTTTCTCTCATGGACAGAAATCCCTCCAGATTGATGATGAGACATCAACATCTTTTTCAGCAATTACCTGCAATACCTTAACCCTCTCGAGGCAGGCGTTGCAGATTTGCAACAGTTAAAAACTAACAACCTGATTACCCCACATACATATTTTATGAGCTTTTTTTTACTCAGAACTGCAGGACTTGGTTGTGCATTAGTAACTAAAACTTAATTTGAGCCTGAGAGGGTTAAACAGCTTTTTTTTTGCAGATTGGTGAACATCTTTAATTCTGAGAAACTCTGCCTCTCTAAGATGCTCCTTTTATACCCAGTCATTTCACAGACCTGTGGTCAGTTAACCTTATTAGCTGCAAATTGTTCCTCCGGGTGTTTCTGTTTAGTACCACTTACATTTCCAGATTTTTGTAGCGCCTATCTCATCTTTGAAGATATATTCCTGCAATCAAAGTCAAGTCGAGCTAATATTATGCCTAAAATGATACATTTTCTCAGTTTTCTAAGTTTGATATGGTTTCCGTAGTGTTTTGTGAATAAAATATGGGTTTATGAAAGTTTATGAGCTGTAAAAAAACATGAATCTTTAACGTAACAAACACACACAAAAAAAACCAAAAACAGGATAAACTGAGGTCAAACATATACTTGCATATGCAAACAGTAATCATGACTGTGATGAATTTGGGTTATGTAGAGTGCATGGTGTCAAAGCACCCCAAAGAATTAAAGTCATCCCACAGGGTCAGAGTGGGTGCAAGGGGTGAAAGTGAGGTCAGTGTAGAGTTTCTTACTGAATCATACTAACGGCTATACAAATGGCATCTTGTCTGTGTATATAGAGGGTTTTTTCAAGATGAATGTCCGTGCATTAACACAACAAATCACAGAAGTTACTAGAAAGAACAAAAGAAATGCAAAAGAGAGGAACCAGAAGATATCTCTTTTATTTTGACCTCAAGAACCAGATTATTCCATTATCTCATCGTGTTTTCTGTTGTATTAATTCATTATGAATGTCTCATCTGTTCATGGACGTGCATAAACGTGGGTACGTGTTGTACAAGCTTCTCAGGCTTGCTGTTACCAGTACAGAGTGTACGGGTGAGGTGAATTAAGCACCACCAGGCACTTCAAATCTGTCACATCCACTTTGAAGGGCTGTAGTGATTAGATGAGGCCAATATGCTAGTCACCACCTGCAATATGTGTTCTTATACTTGTTACCTACTTTTTTTCCTTTTCTAATTTCCTTTCAAGCGGTCCATTTCTCTCAGACACACACACACACAAAATCCAGAATCTACCCCTAGTGCTGCTTTTCTCAGGGGTCTCTAACTGCACCTTTCTTTCTTGGGCTGTAACCAAATCTTTAAGAGGCGAGAGTGTGCTCTCATGAATAAAACAAGATTACTGGATTCCTACGTGTGGAGAGAGAGATCGAGAGAGAGAAAGGGAGGGTGGATTTCCCAGGGGAAAAGAAGCCCCCCCCCACAACACCGACCCGCCACCCTTGTTTTTTTTTTCTCTGTCCTTCCCTCACACCAGCTCAGTCCTTATAGGGTATTCTCCAGAGTACGACTGGCAGAATTAGTGTAGCAGTGTGTTTGCGTAAAGCATGTTTTCTGTGCTTGCAAGCAATGCGCAAGTCTAACAGAAGGGTCACAAAACAAGTTGATGGGGCTGTTAGCAGGAGAATCAGTCTGAAAAATCTAAGTGAATCAGTATGAATGTGCTAGAAATGTAAACTAGACAACGGCGAACAGGCAAACGAGCCGTGGGAATCAGAGTTAAAGAAGAATAAGCAGAAATAAGCAGAAATAAGCAGAAAGTTTAGTCTTAAAAACTAAATTTCACAGTAGTTTGACACAGAAGTTCCTCAAAACAAATGATTACTCTATCACGTAATCCATGGTTGTCACTATGGTTTCTTCTCGTCATCACCACATCTGCCATTCAAATGCAAGATACACATTTCTAACAAACTCAACCACAAACTGTAATGGATGTGTGGTCAGAATAGGAGTTAAAGTTATCATCAGACCTCAACAGTCTGGATGGGGAACAAAATCTTTTCTTTTCATGCCTGAAATGAGGATTTCTTAATCAGTAAGTCAAATACAAATGTGAAAAGTCCAGGCATCAGAGATTAGGCAACACATGCACGATAACTGCTGTAAATCTGTGTAACCAACTATTCCCATATGTCAGCCTTTGATTGCATAAGCGTGTCAATGTAATGACAATGTAAGCTCTGTATGTGTACCTCTTCCATGGCACTGATGAGATTTTGAGTTGATTTGCTGATGTCGCCTCCCACAGGGGTGGGTCCCATTCCCTGGTACATAGAATCCGGCCCATCCTGTCCACTCATCTCAACTGTGTAACTTGCTTTAGTTGGCCAACACAGCTGGTTGTGCATGATGAAGTACACAGCAAACACATACAAGCCCTGTAGAGAAAGCAGTGGGGGAAATAATTCAACATTAGGAATAAGTTATGGCTCTGCTCTTCAGTATGATTAATCTGAAATCTGTAATACTGCCGGCTCAATCAATCTGCAGTGGCAGGCTTGGAGGGTAAAAGAACCAAACGATCCAAAAAAGTGCGTCACAAATTCATTAGACCACCTATCATAAAAGCAAAAAGACATAAATATTTTAGAAATTTTGTCAAAAGATAAAAAATTATATAGCTATTCCTTAAACCCATTTTCTAAGAACACTCACAAAATACTCATCAAACAAACCTAATTTTCTATTCAAGAATGCAAGTAAATAACTGTACTTTTGGAGCTTAATTAAAAATAATAATGTGCTTTACTATTCTTTCCAACTGTTTTGTAAAATAATAAAATTATGAATGAATAATAAAATTAAATAGATTTTAGCATAAAATATCGTTTGGATTAAAGAGCTTGCACATAACTGGTGGATTAACCATTACAGAGACATAAAAAATGATTTCAGTAATTACCAGAACTGTTGATTTAGATCAGCTGTGGCTTAAACCTCACACTCAGTGGTAGTCTAATAGATTTGTTAAGCTCTGTACATATTACATAAACATATGTGATATTAAATAATACTATACTCATTATTATTTTTGTGCAGCGTGTTGCTGTTGCATTCCGAATTAAACTTCTTTCACTTCTTTCAGCATGATTACTGAAGCATTACTTCACCACTGGGGCAGTGACATCATTGGCATACTGGTATTTCTGCCTCCTCCACTTCTTCATCATTACCATTATCTGCTTGGTCAACAGCACCAGGATGCGAATTACCCCAAAACACCAGGGCGTCAAATACCACAAATCCAGCCCATATTTCACAACACCCATCATCGGGCGATGATGGCAGCCACAGAGACGGAACGCACAAGAGCGCAAACCACAAGCGTGTGTGAATACAGGCCAACACGGATCTATTAAAGACGTTTACACATGGGGAGAGAAAGTACGTTTTTGGACAACATGGAAGAAAATAATGAATACAGTAATAAAATATGTTTAGGCAAAACCTGACGGACTGATTGTTTCATTGATAAAACCAAATGTAAACACTTTGCTTTTTTGTGAAAATAAATATCAATCTGTCAGTGTGTGTGTGTGTGTGCGCGCAACTCCCCAACTTATTCAAATCCTTAAATCAAACTTTGTGACATAAGGTTCGTGTCTGTAATTAAGCTTCAACTTTCCTGGCAGAGCAATCAACGTTACTCATCTTGAGTTTATTGACAGAACGGGATTATAAGCAGCCTGGATGGCCACAGTAAACATTAATAGGAAGAGAGCAGGAACAGTAAATCAGAACTGTGTCTTTATGGGGGCACTATAAAACTGGAATATCCAGATTATGAGAAGGAAAGAAAGCCTGTTTATAAGCTCACTGGAGACCTTGCAGGTTAAAAACAGTGCAGTATACTCCGCTGTTTTCTGACACAGTGACTTAAACAGATTGGTGAATCGTACACTGTGTTCCCATAAATTAGTGTGCCTTGTAGGTAATTGTGCATGAATTGCAAAATGAGAGCTTTAAACCATGTCCTTTAGTAAATGGAACACTTCATGGCTAGAAGCTATGTTGAGGGATATGTAAAGTCATAATGATGTTATGACCTTATATTTGGACATATATATTTGGAAGAAGGTAATTAGTCTTCCTTTGTGTGTTCACATGTAACATGGAACAGAAAGCAGCCAGGTGTGTATTCATATCTGGGTGTGTATGTCTTTATCCATGAGCATTTCTCCATTACAACAGCACTGTGGGTGATTAGCACAGATCATTAGCAAGCTGTGTGGCCTGAGGAACAGGCTTAACAGCCATAGGTAAGTTATGTAAGTGTTCCCTGATCGCTGAGTCCATGTCTTTGGAGATCGAAGGCAAAGTCCAAAAGAGGACACTAAGGACGGGAAGGTGTTGAGGGATGTGAAACGGACCGTGAGAAGGAGCATTTGATTGTGTTGGATACAACCCTGTTTAAAATCATTTGGGGTGCTGAGCAAAATGTACATATGAAAGCAATGATTTGCATGATTGAAATCATAATGATCCTGACATTTAAAGAAGACAAAGACAACATGGACAACAACAACTCTTTAGATTGAAATATTTTCCCTTTCTTAGGTGGAGGATTTAAGCTGCTCAACAGTTTGGTGCTCTCTTCACTGCAGTGTTGTTTCATAATGTGCCAGCTTTTTTTCAATAGGTAACAGACCTGGACTGCAGGCAGGCTATTTTACAAAAGGGCCACGCTGTTGTAATACAAATGTAGTTTGGTGGTGTCTTGTTGAAAGAAAACAGTTGCTGGATGGTAGCAGACATTAAGAGTTCCTTCAGATACTGGTAACTTATTCATGCTAGGTGCACTAACACCCTCATGCTGGCTTTTGAAATGTGTGCTGATAACAAAGTTGATGGTCCCTTTGTGTTCATCCTGGAGGAAGTGCAGGCATTCACAAAAAGAATCTCACATCACTGCCATTTGTGCCATTTTTGGCTTTCTCCTTTGTGTACAGAGATACACAAAGGATCTTACATTTCAGAGATGACAAAATCCTCAAATTCTTTTTAATTTCATATTTAGAAAGTTTATTCTCAATTTTTCAAATGATTTGCAGGGTTTATTTAAGCTGCTTCTCTTTTATGGTCTGTTTCCTAACATTTTCAAAACATGTCGCCCGCATCAACCTTAAAATGAATCAAATCAAAAACAATAAAATCTCATAGTTTGACATGTTGCCTTTGTGCTACTTTAAATTAATTATGGTGTTTAAATAATTTGCAAAGTTTTGAGTACAATTTTACACAGCATTCTGTTTTGTGGGTTTTTAAGTAGGGCGTTTAAAAGTGACAACAGCAACGAGCTAAAGAAATGTACTGCTTGTCAGGGGTAAGACAAAGGGCAAGATGATAAAATTAGAAAACTGAGATAATTAAAAAATAGCTCTCGAGTTTTCTGACTTCTTTCAAAGTGATTAAATATACTAAACTGCATCAACTGCAAAAAGTGCTGTGTCCGCAGATTTTTCTGTGCTTTCTGTGCTAAAAGAAAAAGAGCTGTTTGACCGAAACCCTAAATACTTCCAGGCTTCACACGGCTAATTGCCTACCGCCTTCTTTTCCATAAAAATATACACATATCCTGTGTCCTATTTTTAGCCAGTGCCAAGGCTGAATGCGCAAGTGGGGGTTGAATTGAATTGTAATGAAGCATGGTCCTGCTTCACAGCTGTGAGGCTTCTGACAGCACGGATACAGTGACGTAGTGTTTATCGGTACATCGAACGTGCAGGAGGAGATAATGAGGGGTTGTGCTGTTGTGATTTGATTATTGTCTTCTATTTCAGCATGATGTGACTGACAGCTGTATTATGTAAAAGGATGGATCAAAGGCTTGTAGAGAGAAAAGAAAACCCTGTGGCCTGTTGGCTAAAAAGTCACATTTTCCACAGTATAACTGCAAACATGTGATGTGTTTCACAGCTTGATTTTAACAGATACCCGGCTGGCAACAAGAGGTTGTTTTTACAGCACCTAACCAAAGAGCAATGTGGGCTCTGCAGCAGACACTTGTGCACAGCTGTAACATCTGCAGCTGTTTAATGGTGTTCAGTAATCAGCAGTTAACATCAACAACACCAATGAGGTAAATATGGAAAATTCTCCTAATGGAAAATTCACGGCATGAAGGAAACAAAAAACAAAAAAACAAGTGTACTTGACTTTGCAGCAGAGATGCACAGCCTAACAAATTCCAAGCTCATGGCATTGAAAACCTATGGGAAGGATAAGATGTTCAAAAATGCACAGGAATAATAATACTGGGAGAATAAGGCAGTCCTGTAGCACCGTGTCCTGAAAAATATCTCAGTTTAATTTCTTTAGTTAACCTAAAAATATTCCATATGGGTTTGAGTTCACAAAATCATGAAACAAAAGTAAGATTACTCTAGTTACCAAGTCATATCTGTTAAGAAATGTGACAATCATCATATTTTGTTAAATCTTGCTGTTCGAGTGTTCATGACAGAGAGTAAGTATCACAGTTGCTTTCTTTAAACTTTACTTTCTTTTTTCGATTTAGTCCCTAATGGAAGTTCTGCAGTGACACAAAATGATCAATGAGTCCTCTCACAGCAACGCTTTTCCTCCATCACCGCTAAACAAATTAAATGTGCTTTAAAAAATACACATAACCCAAATCTTGCATACAAATAAATATGATAACAGCCATGCTTCGTACATGGTTACAGCATCCTGACCTTTCTTTAGTGGTGCTTTGTAGAAAGTGGGTCAGATGAGTTTGTTTATGGCTAATCAATATCCTTGGACACAATGTACCTTTGGGACCCTTACCCGTTCCACTTTGATAAATCCCTACTTCTGGTACTTTTGGTGCAGACCCCAGAGGCTGCTGTTTTAGCTGGAACTTTGTATGAGGCACGGCTGAAAATCAATTGCAGCAGTTCTTTTTTTTCCAGATGATACAAAGTTTGATAGAACTTGTCCTATCTGAAGTTAAAGTTAAGCTACATTTAAGTTGCTGAAATACAAATAGGGTAGCAAGAAGCTCTTTTTAGCTGTTACTGTACGTCGCCACCAAAAAGCCCAAAAGTCCTCATTTAGAGAGCAAAAGTGTTATCAAACTACTAGTCATCTGCCAATTAGCGTAAAGAGGAGATTTTTTTGTACTATTGTGTGGGTGGATGTATGTTTGTGTGACAGCAGTGCTAAGAACTTTGATACCTCAGGGGCCTAATGAGGGGGCCCAAGAACAAATCAAAGTATTTAGAGAGGAAACAAAGGCTTTTAGTCTGAAATGTTTCTAAGTGAGAGGATTTTTACCCAGGTTAAAAGAAACACAAGCAGAACTGAGGAAATGTATTTAAAAACTTTGCATGTAAATTAACAATCACAAGTTAATTTTAAATAAAATCAAACTAGCTATGTGATGTCACAGGGATGGACAAAGTATTGCTGGTCATGAAGAAGTGTCGAGTGCGACAAAGACCATTGCTGCTGACATCACTTCACTTCAGTCACTGGACTAACAGGAGATGTTTACTTATGCTAAGCGCTGTTGTCTTTAGCATGTAGATGCTACATATCAACATTGGTTGTCACAGACCTCTTGTGGCACATGTTACAGGCACATGGTGGTCTACCCGATCACTGCAAACATTTAGGGACTAGATAAGACAGAAAACAATCAATTGTGCAAAACTAAGCACAACTGATCCAGAAAGCTTCGTGGGCATCTTCTTAAAAAAACACATTATGCATTAAACACTTCTACAAAACTAAATCTTTGCGCCAGAAAATGTATGATTTAGTAGGTTAAGTAAAATTGACAGAAGACAATTTAAAGACAAGTAATAAAGCTACTGATATGAATGAGCCACAGCTAAATCCTTAGTAACCAGAAGACAAAAGTTTTTAAAAAAATGTCTCAGTTACATGAGTAAGCATGTGTTTCCCTCACTAAGGACATAACTGAAGGCAGAAAAATCCACAAAAACTTGCACAATGTGTTCCAGAGTTCATGATGATATTGTTGCACAGGTTTTATATTTGATCATTAATGACAGTCCTCATTTTGTCCAGTTTCTTTTGAACAGGTGGAAATTGGTTATAGGGACTATATTTTTATTAAGCCTCTAGATTGAAGCCCAGCATCTACACTTCCCATCCTTATGTCTTTTTTTGGAATCTGTAGTGGCGTGAAGCAGAGGCATGCTTGTGAAAATGATCTCACTGTGCAAATATTTAAATATGTACTGGACTGCATTTAGTGGTAGAGTAATCTATCTTGCATTTGAAATATCTTTACTTAGCTACACTGACATCTGAAATACAGAACTGAGAGAAACAGAGGGAGTAAATAAACTGTAAAAAGATGCAAACAAAGGGACCAAGAAA